ACCCCCCCAAGCCCTACCGAGAACCCACCCCCAAGCCCTACCGAGAACCCAACCCCCAAGCCCTACCGAGAACCCAACCCCCAAGCCGAGCCCTACCGAGAACCCCCCCCCCCCCCCAGCCCTACCGAGAACCCACCCCCCCAAGCCCTACCGAGAACCCACCCCCCCAAGCCCTACCGAGAACCCACCCCCCCAAGCCCTACCGAGAACCCACCCCCCCAAGCCCTACCGAGAACCCACCCCCCAAACCCTACCGAGAACCCACCCCCCCCCCAAGCCCTACCGAGAACCCACCCCCCCAAGCCCTACCGAGAACCCACCCCAAGCCCTACCGAGAACCCAGCCCAAAGCCCTACCGAGAACCCAGCCCAAAGCCCTACCGAAAACCCAGCCCCAATACCTACCAAGAACCCACCCCAAGCCCTACCAAGGACCCACCCGAAGCCGGACAGACACCCACCTGGAGCCCGAACAGTCACCCACCCGGAGCCCGACCAGTCAAACACCCGGAGCCCGCCAGTTTAGTAAACCGGAGCCCGCCAGTTGAGTGAACCGGAGCCCGCCAGTTGAGTGAACTGGAACCCGTCAGTTGAGTACCTGGAGCCCGCCCCGAGCCCTACCGAGAACCCATCCCGATCCCTACAGAGAACCCGCCCCGAGCCCTACAGAGGTTCCCCAAGCCCGAGAGCCTATCCCGATCCCGAAAGAGCCCACCCCGAGCCTGACCGGGAGCCAACCCCAAACCCTACCAAGAACCCACCCCCAAGCCCTACCAAGAACCCACCCCCAAGCCCTACCAAGAACCCTGCCCTAATACCTACCAAGAACCAACCCCAAGCCCTACCAAGAACCCACCCGAAGCTGGACAGACACCCACCTGGAGCCCGAACAGTCACCCACCCGGAGCCCGACCAGTCAAACACCCGGAGCCCGCCAGTTTAGTAAACCGGAGCCCGCCAGTTGAGTGAACCGGAGCCCGCCAGTTGAGTGAACTGGAACCCGTCAGTTGAGTACCTGGAGCCCGCCCCGAGCCCTACCGAGAACCCACCCTGAGCCCGACCAAGAACCTACCCCGAGCCCTACAGAGGTTCCCCACGCCCGAGAGCCTATCTCGATCCCGAAAGAGCCCACCCCGAGCCCTACCGAGAACCCACCCCCCAAGCCCTACCGAGAACCCACCCCCCAAGCCCTACCGAGAACCCACCCCCCAAGCCCTACCGAGAACCCAGCCCCAAGCCCTACCGAGAACCCAGCCCCAAGCCCTACCGAGAACCCAGCCCCAAGCCCTACCGAGAACCCAGCCCCAAGCCCTACCGAGAACCCAGCCCCAAGCCCTACCGAGAACCCAGCCCCAAGCCCTACCGAGAACCCAGCCCCAAGCCCTACCGAGAACCCAGCCCCAAGCCCTACCGAGAACCCAGCCCCAAGCCCCGAGAACCCACCCCAAGCCCTACCGAGAACCCACCCCCAAGCCCTACCGAGAACCCACCCCCAAGCCCTACCGAGAACCCACCCGAAGCCGGACAGACACCCACCTGGAGCCCGAACAGTCACCCACCCGGAGCCCGACCAGTCAAACACCCGGAGCCCGCCAGTTTAGTAAACCGGAGCCCGCCAGTTGAGTGAACCGGAGCCCGCCAGTTGTGTGAACTGGAACCCGTCAGTTGAGTACCTGGAGCCCGCCCCGAGCCCGACCGAGAACCCACCCAGAGCCCTACCGAGAACCCACCCTGATCCCTACAGAGAACCCACCCCTAGTCCTACCATGAAAACACCCTGAGCCCTACAGAGAACCCACCCTGGGCCCGACCAAGAACCTACCCCGAGCCCTACAGAGGTACCCCAAGCCCGAGAGCCCATCCCGAACCCGATAGATCCCACCCTGAGCCTGACCGGGAGCCAACCCTAAGTCCTACCAAGAACCCACCCCGAAGCCCTACCAAGAACATACCCGAAGCCGGACAGACACCCACCTGGAGCCCGAACAGTCACCCACCCGGAGCCCGACCAGTCAAACACCCGGAGCCCGCCAGTTTAATAAACCGGAGCCCGCCAGTTGAGTGAACCGGAGCCCGCCAGTTGAGTGAACTGGAACCCGTCAGTTGAGTACCTGGAGCCCGCCCCGAGCCCTACCGAGAACCCACCCCGAGCCCTACCGAGAACCCAACCCCCCCGAGCCCTACCGAGAACCCACCCCGAGCCCTACCGAGAACCCAACCCCCCCGAGCCCTACCAAGAACCCACACCCCCCCCCCCCGAGCCCTACCAAGAACCCACACCCCCCCCCGAGCCCTACCAAGAACCCACACCCCCCCAGCCCTACCAAGAACCCACACCCCCCCAAGCCCTACCAAGAACCCACACCCCCCCAAGCCCTACCAAGAACCCACACCCCCCCCCAAGCCCTACCAAGAACCCACACCCCCCCAAGCCCTACCAAGAACCCACACCCCCCCCAAGCCCTACCAAGAACCCACACCCCCCCAAGCCCTACCAAGAACCCACACCCCCCCAAGCCCTACCAAGAACCCACACCCCCCCAAGTCCTACCAAGAACCCACACCCCCCCCCAAGTCCTACCAAGAACCCACACCCCCCCCCAAGTCCTACCAAGAACCCACACCCCCCCCCCCCAAGTCCTACCAAGAACCCCCCCCCCCCCCCCAGTCCTACCAAGAACCCACCCCCCCCAGTCCTACCAAGAACCCACCCCCCCCCCAAGTCCTACCAAGAACCCACCCCCCCCCCCCCCAGTCCTACCAAGAACCCACACCCCCCCAAGCCCTACCAAGAACCCACACCCCCCCAAGCCCTACCAAGAACCCACACCCCCCCCAAGCCCTACCAAGAACCCACACCCCCCCCCAAGTCCTACCAAGAACCCACACCCCCCAAGCCCTACCAAGTACCCACACCCCCCAAGCCCTACCAAGAACCCACACCCCCCAAGCCCTACCAAGAACCCACCCCGAAGCCCCGACAGACAACCCACCCCGGAGCCCCGACCGACAAAGCCCCCCGGAGCCCCGACCGACAACCCAACCCCACCCCGGAGCCCCGACCGACAACCCACCCCGGAGCCCCGACCGACAACCCACCCCGGAGCCCCGACCGACAACCCACCCCGGAGCCCCGACCGACAACCCACCCCGGAGCCCCGACCGACAACCCACCCCGGAGCCCCGACCGACAACCCACCCCGGAGCCCCGACCGACAACCCACCCCGGAGCCCCGACCGACAACCCACCCCGGAGCCCCGACCGACAACCCACCCCGGAGCCCCGACCGACAACCCACCCCGGGGCCCCGACCGACAACCCACCCCGACCCCGACCGACAACCCACCCCGGAGCCCCGACCCAACCCACCCCGGAGCCCCGACCGACAACCCACCCCGGAGCCCCGACAGAGAACCCACTTGGGGCCCGACAGAGAACCCACTTGGGGCCCGACAGAGAACCCACTTGGGGCCCGACAGAGAACCCACTTGGGGCCCGACAGAGAACCCACTTGGGGCCCGACAGAGAACCCACTTGGAGCCCGACAGAGAACCCACTTGGAGCCCGACAGAGAACCCACTTGGAGCCCGACAGAGAACCCACTTGGAGCCCGACAGAGAACCCACTTGGAGCCCGACAGAGAACCCACTTGGAGCCCGACAGAGAACCCACTTGGAGGCCGACAGAGAACCCACTTGGAGGCCGACAGAGAACCCACTTGGAGGCCGACAGAGAACCCACTTGGAGGCCGACAGAGAACCCACCCCGCGCCCAACCTTTCATGGAGAAAATTGAACACCAGGCGACAAAAATAATTGCAGAATGAGGTCTAGTTTCATACCATGAACGGTTGAGGGTCACAGGGCTAACACTGCAAACTAGGCATGCCAGGATGGATCTCACCGAAACTATTAAAATATCGACTTGAATCGACTTGAGAATGGTCCAGGACGGACCGAAACTCATCGTCCCTTCAACTTCTAGTGTGTGGTCTGGTCAACATACTTCAGCCACGTTATTGTGACTCATCGCCTGCCTATTAAAATATTGAACAGTTTCGAAGATATGGATCCAGAGAACAACTTCAAAAGGTCAGATGGAACACAAACAAGGAACAACGGTTTCAAGTCCAACAAGCCGCAGTGTAGGACTGAAAACATAAGCTATATTTTCACCCACAGGGTTATAAACCCATGGAACCGCCTATCTGCTAAAGCAGTAAATAACATAACACTTGAATTGTAAAATCCAATTTGAAAAAAAATCGGAACAAATGGGGGACCTGATCTGCTACCAGAAATTTTAGCCAAATATCCCCAGTCTGCTAACTGTAGGTAGTAACCGAGTGATTGTAACCTATCCACCGCTGCCTACTGGATGGGGGGCGGTGTGCAGGACAAACATAAATTGTGACACTAGCTCTCCACATATGTCAGGTGCTTAATTTAGAACCTGTACTTGAGGTCGATCTCGAACCCATTGTTGATGTGACGACTTATATTGAATTTTGTAACTATAGCTCATCAAGATTGTAACTTGCTTAGCTAAATGAATTGTGGGGTTCAGTCCCTGAGCCCATTATGTGCCTCTGTAACCCTTTCCACTACCGCCCAGCAGAGGTACAACAGGTACTCGGAGAGAACTATCAACATCAGAGGCCCGAGACTGTTCAACATGCTTCCACTACACATAAGGGGCATAACTGGCCGACCCCTCACAGTGTTCAAGAGAGAACTGGATAAGCACCTCCAAAGGATACCTGATCAACCAGGCTGTGACGCATACGTCAGGCTGCGAGCAGCCGCGTCCAACAGTCTGGTTGATCAGTCCAGCAACCAGGAGGCCTGGTCGACGACCGGGCCGCGGGGACACAAACTAAACTAACATTGATAGGCATTGTTCGAAGCAAACTCCATACGTGAAACCCCATTATATTATATAATTCTATATACTGTGCATATATAAGATATAAATATGTCAAAAAGAATTATCACTCTTACCTGGAGCAATGTTGCTGATGTCGGAAATCAGCGGTATATGTTGTCGCGTTGGCGGCAGCGACAGTACTGAGGCCTGAGCCTTCAACGACCAACCGCCGTTTGAACGCCATTTTGAAACAGGCGTACTACCCGAAAAGTGCGTAAACTAGTATTTGCGTGCATTATAGGCCATTCCAAGAAACCTTATTGCAATGAATATCTTGTTATCTAACAAACGAATTATTTATGTTAATATTTTTAGCACATGTTAAATTAGGCCATTTTTCATTTAGAGGGGGTATATATATATATAGCTATTTACATTTTAAGTTTGAAAAATTACCGTACAAAATTGAATGCAAAGATAAGATAAGATTTATTTATACAACCCTGTTTGGAAATTAACTCCTTTTACAATGAAATAAGACGCAAATAAGAACCTCAATTGTGTAGTGAATTTATGCATTTTGTTTTGATTAAAAGCTTAGGTAGTACAATGTACTACTTCTACTACTAATACCACATTATATATGAGGGGCTACTAAATAAAATTAAAGCACAAGCATGTTCACCTAATATCATTAGCTGACAGGTGAAATAATATGAAAGTCGGAAACTATTTGATTCTCTCAGAATTTCTACTAATCCTTTCTTTCGTCGAGACCAATATATGTCAGTGACCCCTCAGATAAATTTCATTTGCAGAAATCAAACTGGGCTTAATTAACTCATGATTTTCTTAGTTTTTATTCTATAGCAGTCATGTGCTACCCTCTTTGTCAAAGATACACTTATTTTGAGTGTAAATATATGTATAGATAATATATACAGTATATATATCGCTGTTATCTTCAAATTCTTATGAAGCAACAGGTACGGGATGCACATATGTCATTCTTGTCGGGAATGTACTGGGTACGAGCGCTTTGCTAAAGTGACCGAGCAATGTATTTCTCTCTCTATATAACAAAATTTAAAGTAATATATTGTCTTCGATTAATATATAACTTCAATATCTTATTCGCAAAAATATAAGCATGCCAATACATAAATTAAGATGCAAATAATGAAATATTAAAAAAATCAAATATATTAAGATCAAAGATCTTACATTAAGGTCAAATGTAGCTAACATATCGGTTTACAAATAATATTACAACTAATATTAGCTTATTGTTCATTAAATATTTAATTAACAGATAAATGTAAGAGTTATTATGGTATTAGGTGGCATATAAGAGTATACCACTCTGCTGAGCCCCAGTGGTCGTCTGCGTCTCTTGGAGGGTCCTTGCCAGCCTGGTGGAGCAAGTGCAGTTTACCTGAGTTTACCTGTCCCTCGTTGACTCCAGTGCCTGAGGATGGCCCTGTGGACCTCCACTCTGCGCCGCCTGTACCTCGGGGCAGGCCCTAGGCTGGTGTCAAGGGCCCAGGGCTCCCTGTCTGCCCCTCAACAAAGTATCCTTCTCAAGGCTGCTCTTGCAGTTGCATAGTGTCTGCATCGTTCTGCTTTTCTGGGGGACATGTGGGCACTGCAAGAATTGTGTGGTGTGAAGGTTTGGGTGTAAACCATTGTGTGCCTTCACTGCTAGCGTGCACCAGTCATATCTTACTGTAACAAACCTCGTACAACCGTGACAATGTTATCCTAACTAATCATTACCTTGAGGTTATCTTGAGATGATAACCAGGTACCCTGGTACCTTTACCAACTTGTGCCAGCAGACGAGCCCAGCTGTTGTGATGTGCTGCTAGATTCAAGTTCAAGTATGTTTATTGAGATAAGCAATAAATACATCTCAAAGGGATAGAGTAGCTTAGGCTATTTCTACCCCCCACACTAGACTCCCAGGGCCGCGTCGCTGGGCTCCCCGGGCCGCGTCGCTGGGCTCCCCGGGCCGCGTCGCTAAGTACACTGGGACACATTTTTGAGATGCCTGTCATACATTAATTTACTGTCCTAACCTTGCTATATAACCTAACCTTGCCTTAGCTTAGACAGCGGTTATTGTCAATTGTCGATTCACAGGGTAATGAAGTTATTATCATATGAAGATCTTAACAAATTATTGTCTGCGTTTTACATGTATGATGCAAATATGGATGTAATAGGTCTATGTGGATGTAAAGGAGTTTACCTTGACCCATGAAGAAATCCTGCTACCATGTCATGGTACAAATGTGGTTATCGTCATGAATGTTGCTAGGGGGGAAAGTGTTTATCATCATATGATGATTTTAAACAATTATTGTCTGGGTTTGTGATGCAAATATTGATATAAAAGCTCTCTGTGGTTCTTCTTGAGAGGTGATCTTGAGATGAGTTCGGGGCTTTGCGTCCCCATGGCCCGGCCGTCGACCAGGCCTCCTTTTTGTTACACACCCCCAGGAAGCAGCTTGTAAAGATGTTACTAAAGAAAAACAAGTGATAAAACAATCATTGAAACACTGGAGAATAAATCAGGTAGCATCAGCAAAATCATGCACCAGGCATTGATAAGTGCTAGACACAACCTTACAGAGCTCTTCCACCCCTGTAAAACAAGAAATATTCACTTATTTTTGTGTAATTCTTATATTCTGCATACAAATTAATAATTCTATAATAAAATTGTATACAGTAATTTTTTTATTTTTTTGTTGTGCATAGGCGGGTATGACCATTTATCCATAGCCGCTGTCTAAAGATTAAGCTAATCAGACCATATCCAGCAGTGTGGTCGTCCCATCCCCAATCCTTATCCCTTCCAAGTGCTATAGAGTCGTAATGGCTTGGCACTTTCTCCTGACAGTTCCTCTTCGCTTCCCAGTAGTATGGTGCCACTGTTTGCTATGGGAGAAATGTTTCATTAGAATTTTACCAGTACTCTAGTCTTCAAAATGTAGTATTTGATTGAGTGAAGAGGGACAGTTTTTATTACAATTTCCTTAACTGGATATACAGATGTTGGGCAAGAGAAGACGCCAAAAGGTAAATATTTTTTAAGTTTATATTTCTCAATGTATTATTTGATTGTTTTAGTTGAAATACCTTTTGATTTATTTAAAGCTAACTGACCGCTATTTTTCTTTTTTCAGTCAAATTTGATTGGCGGGATGCACTTAACCTGGAAAGTCAGTTAACTGAGGACGAGGTAATGATCAAAGATACCTTCCGGGACTACTGCCAAGAGAAGTTGATGCCACGTATTATAGATGCAAACAGAAATGAAAGTAAGATCATGAGTTTGAAGATATTTGGTGAACTCTTTATGGTTTTGAATGTGTTAAAGCAACAATTTATATCTTTTAAAGTTTTCAAGAAATTACCTTGTAATATTTTTAGGGTACTTGTATGTAAAAAGATGTGTATTGATCACTGCTGACTGAAAGAATTACTAACACTTCATCTGTACATAAAGTACAAAATACAAATAGGCATTTCGAGGGTGGTGTTGGTTCATGTACATACAAGTACTGTAGTCCCATAATAATAGCACAATAAATAGAATTTTAACAAATGTTTTAAAATTTAAAATTTAGACCCAAAAACGTATTTATAATCTTTAAAGTGTTCTGACATCAAGTTTCATGTTACATCTTTCATTTTGGTATCAAATTACGCACATTCTAAAGGTGCTTATTTTGAAACTATCCCGAGATTGATCGGATAAAAAATAAATTTTATGCAAATATTTTTGTAGTGGACGCGAGTCCTGTCCACAGCTAGGACTCGAGAGAAGAAAAATGGACATGATCGGTGTCCAAAGTAAGCGATACTGTTAATATAACCTAAAGCGACAGAGAATAGAGTTTGAAATCTGTAAATAAACCGGCCCAATAAAAATGTCACAACTTCTGCCACCGGTGGCTGATTAACATGTTGACCAATTTTGTTCCAACTTCACATGCTTAGTGTTGGATATGCATTCACCAAGATGTAGAAGTCACAACAAAATCTGTATAGAAACAAAGGAGAGAGGGGGGGGGGGGTGAAGAGAGAAAAAAGTGGTTGTTGGCTTTTTGTACAAAGAGACATAAGAAATATTGCCATTGGGCAATGTATTTATATAATATAAATTAAAATGAAGGAAAATAACATACTAACTCATTAATATGTGTGAAATCTGGCCCTCCAGGTGGCACTAACTGCATATCCACTTTGTGGACCCTCCTTACTACTACAGTACTTCTTTGTGCGTAAGACAGGTGATTGCATTTCTTCATCCCTGGTTGCCAGTAAATAGGCGGTGTTATCATTATTATCAGTACAAGTTGCCGCCCGTCGTGCATGCATTTATTTTTTAAAAAATTGTAAAAAATCCATCTCTAAACATATTGGGATGAAATTTTCATGACTGATGCAAAAGAACGGGTGATTTGCTTAAATTTTGTCACTATTTCATATTTGGAAAAATACTCCCTTGTCACTGGGCCCCTTAAGTCAAGTGAGCTAGTGTCTATGGCCCATTGCAAACATCAACAATCTAATTAACCAAGTTGTCAACCAATAGGCTTGGTCTAAAACCAAACCACAGTGACTAGTCATTAGACCTGCCACAAAGTAATCATTGCTTTCTTTTCTAATTCTATTGTATTTTCATTATTACTTCTGTATTGTGTAGATTGAATACCTCCCATAAAATGATTCCTCTCACTTTGTGTAGTGTGATCCGGGTTTGCTGATGGCTCTTACTGAATCTATCGGTTCCATCTTCCTAGTGTTTGAATTACATGGTAATTTACTGTGTCTATACAATGTGCCCTATTCATTCCACCTCTCCATATTGCCATGTAGGCTACACAGGAATTATCACGTGTGTTTATATTTGACAATATAGCTTACATATTAATTGATAATTTTTTCAAATTCACCAAGATCTTAATTCTTGTTTTTGCAGAATAGATTTGTTATTTGTTGTATTATAATGTAGCTACATGTTATATACTGTACTTTACTCCAGTGTGACAGTATCCCTTACACTACACATTTCTGTAAATACAGGTATGTTGTAAGATTTATATTGTTACTGGGTATGTTCTGCAGAGTTTGACCTCGAGATCATGACCGAGATGGGTGACATGGGTGCATTAGGACCAACCATTCATGGATATGGATGTCCAGGAGTCTCATCTGTTGCATATGGTCTCATTGCTAGAGAAGTGGAGAGGGTAGATTCTTCTTACAGGTAAGCAGCAACAATTAATTTTTATTCATGAATGTTTTACATTTATAATAGTTTACACATAATTTCTGTACATAATTTACAGAGGTGGTGGTCATGATAATAGCTCAGTGATCATTATTGATTTGCTTTGTGACAACATTCATGTCCAATGGAATGAAAATACTATTACAGTAGTTTGAAGGTATTTTGGCTAAAAATAGGAAATGCCTTTGATTATTTTCTCCTCAGAAAGCAAATAAATCTCCAGTATTTCAGCTATTTTTTTTTTTTTTGCAAGCTTCAATGTACTATGGGTTCATACGACTATAGCAGTTATTGTACTTTTTTTTTAAATCGTAATTCAGATCGTTGTGATTAAATTGTTTCAGATCTGCCATGTCTGTCCAGTCATCACTTGTCATGTACCCCATCTGGGACTTTGGCACTGAAGAACAGAGGCTAAAATACCTTCCTAAACTTGGTAAGAGAATTACAAAGTTGTTAATTTAGTTTAAGAAAATGCTGTTGTGTGAAGTGGAGGTACTGCGAGTATACCCGGCAGATGGCATGCTCACGTAACATAAAAAAAAAGTATGACCTTTGCAGTATGACTACAGTATTGAGGAATAGGAGGAAAGTCAGAAAACCCAATTTAAAAATACAAATTAATTTAGTAAAACAAAATAAATGTTACTTTACACCTGAATACAACTGGCTATATGCACTTCAAATTATAACATTGAAAACAAACCAAAAATATCATTAATGCTTAATTCAACTTTTGACTTGAACACCGAAACAAAAATGTGTGTAATTCCACCACATCATCTGTAACTTGTGAACTGCTAAGGAAAATATTTTGTAATTTTGGATTACCAGACATGGTTGTGTCAGACAATGCTCCTTATTTTGTTTGTGGAAATGGAGGATTTTTTTTTTTTTTTTTTTTTTTTTTTTTAGAAAAAAATGGTATTAAACATGTAACACCTGCCCCCCTATAATCCTTCTTCAAATGGTCTAGCAGAGAGAGCAGTGAGATCATTAAAAGAAGGGTTAAAGCGGTTTACAGAAGGTACAGTACAATTAATACAAGGCTTTGTAGATTTTTATATAATCAAAGGAAAATGTTCACTCTACTACTGGTAAATCTCCTTCTGAATTATTGTTTAATAGGCACTTTAAAGTGCACATGGAAGCAGTAAAGACAGATCCTGATAAAGAGAAATCGGTAACTAGCTTGACCAGTCAGTTGACTCAGAGGGAGGAATTGATGTTTAACGAGGGGGATGCAGTATATGCAAGGAATTTTGGAATTGGGAAGCCTTGGGTAGAAGGAAAAATTAGGGAAGTCTTGAGAAGCAGGAATTTAACTGTGCAAGTGCAGAGGTTTTGGAACATTAATTGAAAAAGGCATGCAGATCAACTCATGCCAAGGTTCGCGGGGAATTTTGAAGACCCTTCCGGTGGGGGTGGGGCAACTTGTGATACCCATCCTAATAATGAAGGGGTAGCAGCACCTGCAGGAGACAGGGAGGCAGAGCAAGGTAAACTTGTTTTTCCCATTACTATAGAGGGTAATGGGAGTACAGTTAACCCTATGGACTCTACAGTGAGTAATTCAGAAGAATGTTTCCCAGAAGTAACAGGTCGGGACTCCCAGTTGAGAAAATTAGAAAGTCATACGACCGCCTGATAGACTTAACCTTTATGGGTAGAGTTTAATTAAAAGGGGGGAGGAATGTTAGGATTAAGTTGAGCTCCAGAAGATAGAGCTCCAAAGGGTTTTTCACTTGCATCATTACTAATATGAGGCTCTGACCAACTTAATGCCGAATCCAAATAGTTACATATTTCTCTCTACCACCAGTACATGATGGTTGGCAGGCCACAATTAATATTAAGTGCTTGCTTGCTTCTTTAGCTGCCTTTGCCTTCTTGATCCAAGGCAGGTTTCACCAACATGCATGTGTGATGTGCTAGGAGTGGGTGTATTGCTTCTTTGACCTCCTGTATCTGTTTTGATACAGCTGCAGGCTGAGGCTCGAAAATTCACAAGGTGAGAGTGTGCTACTTTGGAGGTCTGGAACTTACCGTGATCAAGTATTCTAGGATGAAGATCGGGTCCTTGCATGCTTTGAAGAGGAAGCTCTCATTAGGTCCTTCCCTTGCAGCTAGCTCACCTCTTCAGTATAGACAAGCTGTGGAATTGGGTTCTGTTAAACAAGTTGGGATGCTCATTTTTCAGAACAAGGTGCACTACTATTCTTATTTCGTCTCTTTCTATTGACTATCCTCATGCTTTATGGGTGACTCTTTTTCAGGCATAACGTTAGTTAGGTAGAGCCAAGTACCCTGTTGAAATTTAGTTACTGCCACCTGGTAGTAGCTCAGTGTAGTGACTGTATAGACTAAGAAGTGATTAGCAGAACACTTCTTGAAGACTTTGATCCCATGTAACTCATGGAAGGGGGGGTAGAGTGTAATTGAATGTTCCTTCTTGTGGTCATTCTGGGCTGGGTTTTATTTTCTCCAGTGTTGCATTTTCATCGGTATGATCCAACAAGTATTAAATGTTGACCTGCCCAGACTGTGCACTGTTTCGTCCATGTGCATCCCGTCCCATTCCAAATTATAATCCTGATCCCTTCACGTGCTATATAGTCCTAATGGCTTGGCACGTGCTCCTGTAAGTTCCCCCTCCCCCACCCATGGTCCATGTGCACACAGCTGAACCTTGCCTAGTGTAGTGACTGAGTGACTTGCCCAGAATTTACTCAAAACTTTATTCATATTAACTTTAGTTTTTGCTTGCCTTTCCTCTCAGTTAAGGTTTAATCTTTACTGCCTTAATTTTCCCATTTTTGGTTGTCTACTTAAGATTTTTCTCAGTCTGGTGATTCTCTCTTTAACTCCTGCACTGCACACCTTTTTTTTTTGGCAAAAACTTCATAGTGCAATTGTTAAGGACATATTTTTGTTATTTTTATAAATGTTCAGGTAAACTTAATGTCAAAATATTTCCAAACTCAACTACAGTATTTTAATTTCAAAACCCAAAGAGTGTTGAAAACATTAAAAAACATTAAAATATAGCCTAATTAAAAAAAAATGGACAACTTTCAAAATAGCATTTGTTGTTTGGTGCAGTGCAGTGGTTCACATCCATCAACAATGATTTAGTTAATTTAGTTGACACGATTAAATGAACACCTCCATGGAATTTTTTCTCTCAGTAATGTTTTCTTTGCTTTCTTGTTGTTTATTGGTTTTCATCATAATTTTTTTTTTTTTTTTTTTTTTTTACCCAACAGCAAAGGGCGAGTTAATTGGGTGTTTTGGGTTGACTGAGCCTAACCACGGAAGTGATCCATCAAGCATGGAGACTCGGGCAAAATATATCCCATCTGACAAAGTCTACATTCTTAATGGTTCCAAGACTTGGTAAGTACACAAGATGGGAAAATGTTATATAGGAGTTTTTAAATTTTAAAAATCTATTTTTCTAAACTATGTATATCTGACTTAGTAAAAAATACTAAAATTTAACAAGAATCACAAACTTCAAACTAAAAGCAAAAACTTGCCACAAATATTTTGCAATTACTGTATTCATATGATATAAATCAGTAGGAGTCTTGAGGAGGGTTCGAACCTGCTCATTTGGTACTCCCACACTAGCGCCTTAGACCATTACACCATAACACGGTAAAAGCACTGCAACACTGCAAAAAAAGACTGCCATATTAATTTTCTTTATATTTTGCCAGACTTAGTCCATCCTCTAACCCCCTTACTTGCTATCTCTCTCATTTTATATGCAGTAAATCACCTAAATACTGTATGCACATCAGAGGCCTAAAGTTTTTCAATCTTCCAACAAATATAAGAAATATTGCTGAAACTAAAGTTTAAATTTTCTAAAGGGCATTGACGCAGCATAGCAAGCTTCTTTATCATACACTCGGATGTTACTGTCACTTTCAGCCTTGTGACCATATGTGGATGTGTGCCATACATGCCAGTACAGTCTTGTCTATTCATTATAAACTTGTTTGGGAGTTAAAGAATCAATTGGCCTGAACAATCTTCTCAATTTTTTATACATGCTCCTTAGAACCTTCTGCATTATATGACTGTGTCTCCTTGTGCATTTTCACTCACGAAGGTGCCTTAACCAACCATCATTACACGCGTTCTCCTTATTAATATTCACTTCGTTTTGTAAATATCTGGCCTTGTCCTTGATCAGCCACCTTGGCGCTGGATACTTTGATTAGTCTCATCTTTGTTTGTGCCACTCCAACATATCCTCATTAACACCTATAAATGTGATTTTTAAATATCCTTTCAGGATCACAAACTCGCCCATTGCAGATGTTGTTATTGTGTGGGCCAAGTGTGAAGATGGCCAAATACGTGGCTTTATCATGGAGAAAGGCATGCCCGGTCTCGTTTGCCCAAAGATTGAAGGCAAGTTTTCTCTTCGTGCTTCTACTACTGGCATGATCCTGATGGAGGATGTTGTAGTGCCAGAGGAAAATCTTTTACCTGGGGTTAAGGGTCTAAAGGTAAAAAGCATACTATATTTGACTTTTGTAATTAATATTATAAAATTAACATTATTTTGTGTATTAAACATTTATTGTAAATTTAACAATTTATTTTACATATGAATGTAGTGTAACAGGATATTAAATTGTGAATACTGTATATTTTCAGGGGCCTTTCAGCTGTTTAAATAATGCACGTTATGGTATTGCATGGGGCGTCTTAGGAGCTGCAGAATTCTGCTTAGACACTGCCCGTTGTTATACATTAGATAGGAAACAGTTTGGTCGTCCTCTTGCAAGCAACCAACTTATACAGAAGAAGCTGGCTGATGCACTGACAGAAATTTCTCTAGGCCTTCAAGGTTGCATTCAAGTTGGTCGTCTTAAGGACGAAGGGAAGTAAGTAACTAATGCCTTTATCTTTACTTCTGTTTGGTTCAATTTTAGCCATTGAGCAAAGCCAGGAGAATTTGAAAATAGGATATACACCTGTGTACAGGTACTTAAATATGTATATTATTATTGTACTCTGTTTACCTCATTTATGGGGTGGAGAGGCACCAGTCTGGAGGACAAAGGTGATAACTGTACTGTACTGTACTGTTATGTAGTGAAAAAAATGTTAAATCTATATCTATGAAAGAGTGTAATTACCTAAGTGTAGTAACAGGAAGAGAGCTATGCTCGTGATGCCCCATATTTCTAGTACTCGAATCAAATCAAATATACTGTAGATTAGAATCCCATTGGGTGATGAAGGGAGGGGGAGGAAATAGGGGAAGAACAGATGGGGAGAGGAGTGTAGTTTAGTGGAAGATAAAGTGTCAGGGCTTGATCCAGCTGCATGATATTGTATTAGACAGGTCTTGGCAGTAGAGGCAAAGTATCAGATGGTGGTGACAACACCTGCAACACTCAAGTTGGCCAACATTGATAGTAGTCAGCTTAATTGTGAGGTGGTTATGTACCCTGTCGTCTTGAAGTTACCTTGAAGTGTTTCCAGGGCTTAGCATCCTAGTGGCCTGGTCGTCGACCAGGCCTCCTTGTTGCTGAACTTGTCAACCAGGCCGTTTGATGTGGCTGCTCTCAACCTGATGTATGAATCACAGCCTGATTGATCAGGTATCCTTTGGAGGTGCTTATCCAGTTCTCTCTTGAACACTCTGAGGGGTCAGCCAGTTATGCCCCTTATGTGTGGTGGAAGCGTGTTGAACAGTCTCGGGTCTCTGATGTTGATAGTTCTCTCTCAGAGTACCTTTTGCACCTCTGCTTTTCAACAGGGGTATTCTGCACATCCTGCCATGCCTTCTGGTCTCATGTGCTGTTATTTCTGTGTGCAGGTTTGGGACCAGCCCCTCTAATATTTTCCACATATAAATTATTATGTATCTCTCCCGCCTGCGTTCAAGAGAATACAGATTTAGGCTTTAGTCGGTCCCAGTAGTTTAGATGTTTTACTGAGTGGATTCTAGTAGTAAAAGATCTCTGCATGCTCTCCAGGTCAGCAACTTCTCCAGCTATGAAAGGGGCTGTCATTGTGCAACAGTGGAGAGCACTAGCGTCTTGAAAAGTATCATCATCGGTATAGTATCTCCAGTGTGAAAAACTAGCGAAGTTTATGGAATTGATGTATCGATTTATAAAATCTTTCTTAGAAATGTTCAAGTGTATATAATTGTTGACATTTAAAATATAGTACTGTAATTATTTTGTGACCATATCGGCTGTTATTGCCATATTTTACTGAAAATATTATGCGTAACTGTATTTCCTGATAACCTGAATTACATGCAGTTAGACTAAAAAATTTATTATGTATTTTAAAGCCAGTTTATCATTACAGTCAAGATTCAGTGTTGAGAATTTACTTTATTTCCACCTCTAAGTAAAATTTTGCCTCAAACTGTTTAGGTCTCCGTCACCGAGAGTGTAAGTGTTCTTAATTACGTCTTGACATTTTAGGGCCTCCCCGGAAATGATCAGTCTCTTGAAGCGAAATTCGTGTGGAAAGTCTCTTGAGATCGCCAGACATGCACGAGACATGCTCGGTGGCAATGGTGTCTGTGATGAGTACCACGTTATTAGACATGTAATGAATCTTGAAGCTGTCAACACCTATGAAGGTAAGAGACTAGAAATATACTGTACTGCACATTGCTATATATGATGTGCCACTTTGAGATAAGAGAGAAGATGCTCAACTTTTTTGTGTAATTGTTTATTTAAATAATGTCTTAGTTCATTTTTATTGCTTAATATATTTTTTGTTTCAAACAAACAAGTTCAGTACTAGTACTGTAGAATCGTATTGAATTCATTTCACCAGCCATGTCGGTATTTTGGCGTTAAAACTTGGCGATAATATTTTGGGGGGGGGGAGCCCCTACAGCTCCCAGAAGCTATCCAGGCTGATAAGGATAGTTCTAATGTTTGGCATCAGTCGATGTGGGTGGAGTACTAGGCCTCCCGGGGACCACGGCCAGAACCTGGCCCCCCCCCCCCTCCCCCTCAGAGAGGCATGAGGAGCATTGGGCTATAGAAATGCACATGTGATTTTGGAGCATTCTATAACTGCCATTGACCGGGACAAGCACCCAGAAAGGTAAGCGACTGAAAACAAACCCCTATTCTGGTGAAACCAACAAAAATAACAAAACAAATGGACAGAACTCCCCAAGGGAAAATGAGCAAACAAGCATGATGTCACATGAGCCACGCCGCATGTCTGTGCAGCTCCCCCCCCCCCCCCTCCCCGGGAGGAGGAAGGGGAGCCCCAGACCCTTGCGCCGGCGATCCACATCTTCAGTTCTTCGGCTGATGGGATAAGGCTTAGTCATTGTGGCTCCAGCTCTAGATTCTCTTTGTTCTGTGCCTGGGTTCAGTACTTCTCTTCGGTGGTGTGTGAGCTGGGAGAAATATTCCAGGGTACTCGGGCTGCATGCTCTTAGGGAAGTTAGCCCTAAGTGCTCTGCAAGTACCACCCTAGGAACTCCACCCACATTGATGTCAAAAATTAGGACTATTCCTATCAGCCTGGATAATTCCGGGGAGCCTCCGGGACTTACCCAGAAAATGGCGTTTCATTACATTCAACGTTAGTTTTTTTTAGAGTTGTTTTCAAAGGCAAAGTTACCTACTTGACAGCTCTTGAACATTTGTTTTCAGAATCTTGCTTATTAGCTTACTAGTTACAGAAGAGATTATTTGTGATGAATAGAAATGTGTGAAGAGGTTACACCAGCAGGTATAACTACAGTGTGAAAGTAATTAGTAGATGTGCATCATTTGGTTAAATGGTGGTGTCTACTACATCTTGCTCTACTACTACATCCGTCCCTCCCTCCGGTCGGCGGTTTTTCGCATTTTTGACATCCAGCCTCAAGAACTGAGGTGTGGGTAGCCGGCGGGGGGAGGGGGTCTGGGGCTCCCCCTTCCCCCTCCCGGGGAGGGGGAAGCTGTTAGTCATACAGGGCCATATGTTCAGTAGCCTGCACTGGCAAATTTTGGGTGCATTATGAAGATATACTCAATAATACGAGAGTAAATAGAGTAAGTGCAGAGCTCCAGGTACCTCATGCCAACTGGTCTGAATGGTCTAATAACTGGGCATTCGGTGATGTAGTGTGCGAGATCATGACCCAATTCCTGCTCAGAGTCTGCACCTGGAGTGCTCAGGATTGGGTGGTCTGCATCTCCCAATCCTGAGCATTCTAGGTTACCATGCCTGAACTATCTTTGTACACTCCTCAATCTTGTATTTTGTTGACTTTACACTCTTTTGTGTCATTTTAAAAGTCTTGCACTGTCAATTCTTGTAACACAACACATGTTTTTCAGATAATTTATTTCTACTGCTTGAACTTTCGATTTTTCACATTCATACATGCATATCTTACAACCATATGTAAGAGTTGGCAATAATACTACTGTATGCAGCCCGGCCTTCAGATTGGAGCCGGTCGGCCGAGTGGACAGCACACTGGACTTGTGATCCTGTGGTCCCGGGTTCGATCCCGGGCGCCGGCGAGAAACAATGGGCAGAGTTTCTTTCACCCTATGCCCCTGTTACCTAGCAGTAAAATAGGTACCTGGGTGTTAGTCAGCTGTCACGGGCTGCTTCCTGGGGGTGGAGGCCTGGTCGAGGACTGGGCCGCGGGGACACTAAAAAGCTCTGAAATCATCTCAAGATAACCTCAAGATGTCCCTCTAATCACATCTATTTGTGTTTTGGTTTTCCTGGCCATGATTTTTATTGAACTATCCTTTTCTCTGAATGGCTCAACTCTTAACTTTGCATATATGTATTCCTATTTTCTCAGTCATACAACATAGTTTCTTATTTGCTAGATTTTTTAAGTTTGATTTGCTGCATTCTTGTAGTTGTCTCAGGATGTGGAAGTGTGCTGTGTTTATCAGTGTGGATAATGAAATTGGGCACACATCTTGTTTATGTATATCATAAGATAAATATTGTTCTTTATATATTTCAGGTACACACGATATCCATGCACTCATCTTAGGCCGTGCCATCACCGGCCTACAAGCATTCAGTAGTGATTAAGTTACAGTATAAGTAAGTACCCTTCACAGTGTAGACAGTGCCACTGTATACCCCTGTGGACAGTCATCTTAAGAGCTACTGTGTATAATCCTCATCAAAGAAATTTAATATGTTAGAATTTTGAGAAAGATTTGATGCCGCAGTGTAAAGTAAAAATGAAGGTCGGCACAGCTTCCAAGATGAGTAGTGACGTCTGAGAGATTTTAAGAAAGGTTGCTCTTGATCTGGAATGATGAATGGTTTTGGGTTGAAGGTTTGATATATTTGATATATTTCTAACATGGAGGCAATGGTAATATTGAATCAACTTCACACTGTTATTACTATAATGGAAATCATAATTTAACCAGGTAGTATTGTGCACTTGTAATGGTGTAATGGTTTAATTTTGTGTTTGGGAATTACCTTGCTTGGATTGTGTGAATAGTAGTAGATTTATAACCATTGGTGTAATCTTATTATTTATCATTGGTAAACCATTGAATGAAGATTGACATGATCTGTTCACAATTTAAAATAAAATTTCTTTGATAAGGTCACCTACTAACTTTTGTGTCTTTATGGTTGCCTTCATCATTTTTCTAGCTGGATAACGGGCAGAGTGTAGTTTTAAAATATGCCTTCGTGATAGTCCGTAGCTGTCGTGTATAGCTATGCAGTCAGGTGACTCTGATACCATTGGCAGCAATCATCTGATGTGTGTCTGCTCTTGTATTGGCAGCTTGAATGATATTGAGGACTATTTGATTTATTCTTCACCACAGTGATAGTCTTCCAGGCTTGGTGCCTTATTTTGATAACTATTTATTTGTTTCATAGCCTTTGATATATGTGAGAGACAATCTGGAAAATGTGTGTGTAGACCAAAAATAACTTAAGCAGAAATAGGACTGTTTTCCAGAGGTATTCAGATGTCCATTATTTTCCTCCACTTTAGCCACATTTTAAATGTCTGTTTAACCATTGCAGTAGAATAATTCTGCCATTTCTCAACCACAAATATTGCTGTACAGTACTTTATATTTAACAATTTAACTCAAATGAATGAGGCAAATGATGGTTTACTTTACTTGAGTGAAGGTTTTTACATTCATGAGTTTGTTTGTGCGTGGTCTGGATAAGACTCTCGGCAACTGGCCACTGGCAGGTGAATTAGGACGAGTCTCATAGAATGGTGCTATCAATTAACATCATGCTACCGGGAATTTCTCGCTTCCCTTCCAACCTGACTACATATACTGGAGTGAGTGGCAGGGTCGAAGGAGGCATCGGATTCCTAGTTCTCAGGGCCTATATTTCAGTTGCTTCCGAATTCAAAATTACATTTGGATTCTTCATATGGGGAAAAGAATGCATGGGGTGAATCATACTGCAAGAATGTAATCCCAAAAGTTCATCAGACAATGTAATTGACAGGTGTCACAAGCCCAACAAGGTGCTGGGTCACATGGCTGAACAGGGCTAAGACATGGCAAAGGATGGGTGATACAAAGGAAATTGTGAAGAGTAACAACATGCATTACACGCTAATCAAACAATAACTCGCACTGAACCGGTCATCAAAAATTGTGTACATGTAAATACTTTCTCTTAACAAAATTATGGTGCTAGAAACCAAAGCGTGTAGCTGTAAATATGCGTTCTTCGAACTCAGAGATGCAAGGCTGACTGTTTGTTGATTTAATTTAAAGTATTTTGGCTTAGTTGAATATGTAGTAAATTTTCTTTTTTAAATATACATGCTGGTCCTGTTTTCATCATATACAATTAGAAAACTGCACGTTGAGTAATACCTGTATTTCAGTTCATGTTTGAAATAAAGCTATATTATTGGAGCCATTTGAAAGAACGTTGAAGTATTTTTTATTAAGTATTCTCATTTGTATGTTGTACATCCTGTATGTAATATATGTATAAGGTAGTATATACTGTATGTAATGTATACTAACACATTTATATATTTTATAGATACTGTACATAATCACCTCTTGTAGATAAACAGTTTTGTAATATTGATGATGGTTGTCATAGTTGCAAGTTGTTACTGTGCCCCTGAAGGCACAGTGACACTGTTCCTTTATAGATGGTGCCTGCACTTCACTCCTTGTTATTCCTGAGCCTCAATAAATCTATATTACAGGGTAACTTACTTTTACTTCCCTTTGAAAGAGATTATTGCAAAATAAAAGCAAACAGTTTATTAAATATTTTGACAGTGATTAACATAAGTGACGCCCAAACCACACACCAGTAGAGGAAGAGATGGTGACGTTTTGGTTCGTTCTGGACCATTATCAAGTAAATTGTGATAACGGTCCAGGACGGACCGAAACAATGCCGTTTCCTCACCTTTTGGTGTGTGGTTTGGTCATCATATCTTCAGCCATGTTATTGTGACTCATCGTCTGCATTAACATAAGTATTCAACATCTGTAAAGAATTTTGAAAGATATCTTGCCAAGTTAATTTAAAATGAATACAGTATAGGACTGTTTTCTGATTTCAGTACATTATTGGGACAGACTGTATTACATATTTGAATTTTAGTTCTACTTTTGTTATGTAGGTACAGCAGTTATGTTGGTAACTACCTACATAATAAAAGGTAGATCACACACTTGTTGTGTAGGTATTTTGTAGATACAGTAATTCAAAATAAAATAAGGGGGTCCGATAGATGGTCCGTTCAGTAAAGCCTTACTAGAAAACGGGTAAGTTTTCCTATGACTAAAAGAATACTTTATAATTAACAATTAAACATAGTTCCTGCCAGAGGCAGCTAGTTTGTGTACCCCATACTCATCCTACAAGAGAGAGAGAGCAAGAGAGGAACACACGTCGTCTTAATCAGATCTCGGCAGAAATTTCCAATTTAATACTTGCAAGTACATCTAACCTGAATACTTTATTACAACTTCAAATCTAATATATTTCCAACTTGAATTATGTGTAATCATGTTTCATTTTCATTACGTATAATACTGTAGGAAAATATTTTATTTACCCGTTTAATTTTCTTAATTAAGAGGCAATCTTGTTAAAGTTGGGTGACTACATTTTTTGTTTTGGTCATAATTCTTTTTTAAATGACTGTTGTGTCATCTCCCCCAATAGAAATAGTGTCCTCCGTCCACTATAATGTTCCCTGACCACGTTGGTGCCCCCTGACTGCTATAGTAACCCCCTGCTGACCACTATAATGTCCCACCTGACTGCTAAAGAGTCCCCTCGACCACTATAGTGTCTCCCGCAACCGTTAGTGTCCACTCGACTGCTATAGTGCCCCCTCAACCACTATAGTGTCTCCCTCAACTGCTATAGTGTCCCCTCGACCGCTATAGTGTCCCCTCGACCACTATAGTGTCCTCTTGACCACTATAGTGCCCCCTCAACCACTATAGTATCTCCCTCAACTGCTATGGTGTCCCCTCAACTGCTATAGTGTTCTCTCAACCACAATAGTGTCTCCTTCAACTGCTATAGTTTCCCCTCAACTACTATAGTGTCCTCTCGACCGCTATAGTGTCTCCCTCGACCACTATAGTGTCTCCCTCGACTGCTATAGTGTCTCCCTTGACTGCTATAGTGTCTCCCTTGACCGCTATAGTGTCTCCTTTAACTGCTATAGTGTCCCCTCGACTGCTATAGTGTCCCCTCAACTGCTATAATGTCCTCTCAACTGCTAGTGTCCCCTCAACTGCTATAGTGTCCCCTCAACTGCTATAGTGTCCCCTCAATCGCTATAGTGTCCTCTCGACGGCTATAGTGTCCCCTCGACCGCTATAGTGTCCACCCTGACTGCTATACTGTAGTGTCACCCCCAACCACTATAGTGTTCCCCCTGACTGCTGTAGTGCCCTGCAACCCCTATACACACTATAAAAGTGCCCACTGACATATATAGTGTCCCCTCTGATCACTGTAAGTTTCCTCTGACTGCTATAGTTCCCATGGCTCCATAATGTCTCCCCAACTGCTATAGTGTCCCCCAACTGCCATAGTTGCGGGACAGTATATGTGTGTGTTTAATTTAGTTACCTAAGTGTAGTTACAGTGAGAGCTATGCTTGTGGTGTCCCGTCTTCCCAGCACTCTTTGTCTTATAGCGCTTTGAAATTACTGACGGTTTTGGCATCCACCACCTTCTCACTTAATTTGTTCCAACCGTCTACCCTCTGTTTGGAAAAGTGAATTTTCTTATATTTCTTTGGCATCTGTGTGTGTGTGTGTGTGTGTAATTACCTAAGTGTAGTTACAGGATGAGAGCTAGGCTCGTGGTGTCCCGTCTCCCCACCACAACTTGTCATATAACGCTTTGAAATTATTGACGGTTTTGGCCTCCACCACCTTCTCAACTAACTTGTTCCAACTGTCTACCACTGTTTACAAAAGTATATTTTCTTATATTTCTCCGGCAGCTTTGTTTCGTTAGTTTAAATCTATGACCTTTTGTTCTTGAAGTTCCGGGTCTCGGGAATTCTTCCCTATCAATTTTATTGATTCCTGTTACTATTTTGTACGTAGTGAGCATATTGCCTCTTTTTCTTCTATCATATAGTTTTTGCATATTTAATGCCTCTAACCTCGCCTTGTAGTTATTGTCCTTCAGTTCAGGGAGCCACTTAGTGGCATGTCTTTGCATCTGTTCCAGTTTGTTGATGTGCTGCTTAAGATATGGGCACCATACAACCGCTGCATATTCCAGCTTTAGTCTAACAAAAGTCATGAACAATTTCTTTATTATTTTTCCATCCATGTATTTAAAAGCAATTCTGAAATTAGAAGGTGTAGCATAGGTTCCTCGCACAATGTTCTTAATGTGGACCTCCGGTGACAGTTTTCTATCTAGAACCACCCCTGAATTCTTTAAAGATTTCTCGCATAATTTATAGCTTGTCTGGGGTCAATGTTCTCCAATTCCACATTCCATAACATGGCATTTATTCACATTAAATTCCATTTGCCAGTGTTGCTCCATATACTTATTTTGTCCAGGTCTTCTTGAAGGGCATGACAATCATGTAGGTTTCTTATCTTCCCTATTATCTTTGCATCATCAGCAAACATGTTCATATAATTCTGTATTCCAACTGGTAGATCGTTTATGTATACAATGAACATTACCAGTGCAAGAAGTGAACCCTGTGGTACTCCACATGTGACATTTCTCCAATCCGATACACTGCCTCTGATTACGGTCCTCATTTTTCTGTCAGTTAGGAAATTTTTCATTCATGATAGAAGCTTACCTGTCACCCCTCCAATATGTTCCAATTTCCAGAACAACCTCTTATGTGGAACTCTGTCAAAAGCCTTTTTTAAGTCCAGATAGATGCAGTCAACCCAACCATCTCTTTCCGGTAAAATCTCTGTGGCTCGATCATAGAAACGTGAGTAAATTCGTTACACAGGATCTTCCAGATCGAAATCTATACTGTCTTTCTGATATTATATAGTTTTTCTCCAGGTGTTCTACCCATTTAGTTTTAATTATTTTTTCCAATATTTTGACTATTACACTTGTCAATGATACAGGTCTATAATTGAGGGAGTCTTCCCTGCTGCCACTTTTGTAGATTGGAACTGTTAGCCTTTTTCCACACATCAGCTACAACTTCTGTTCACAGGGATGCCTGAAAAAGCTTTTGAAGTGGAATGCTGAGCTCAGGTGCACATTCTCTCAGAACCCATGGTGAAACTCCATCTGGACCAACTGCTTTGTTCTTAGCTTTTTGAGCTTTTTTTCCACTTCGTCTCTAGACACCACTATGTGCTCTGTGTTGTTCTCTGGAATTCTTATTGTGTCTGGTTCCCTGAAGATTTCATTTTGTACAAACAGACTTTGGAACTTTTAGTTTAATGTTTCACACATATCCTTTTCATTTTCCATGAATCTATTTCCCATTTTCAACTTCTGAATATTATCCTTTATCTACAATTTGTTATTTATGAATTTAGAGAATAGACCTGGTTCAGGTTTACATTTGTCCACAATCCCTTTTTCAAAATTTCTTTCTGCCTCTCTCCTCACTGCCGTGTAGTTGTTTCTCGCATCTTTGTATCGCTGGTAAGTTTGGGGGTTTGGCCTCTTCCTATATTGATTTCATTTTTGTCTCTCTTGGTCTCTGGTCCTCTCATAATTTCAGTTGAACCAATTCTGTTTCCTAGTTCTGCATCTCTGCTTTGGTATAAATTTTGTTGTGCCTTTATCATATATTTTACAAAACTTGACATGCATCTCATTTACTTCATGTCCTAACAGCAAATCTTTCCAGTCAAATTCCTTAAAGAAATGTCTGAGTTCCTCGGACATTTCCTAATGTTCCTAATGACCTCTTCTGAAATCAGGTTTTTCAACTGCTTCAACCTCATTTTCTTCCAGAGAATGTGAGTGTGTGTGTGTGTACTCGCCTATTTGTACTCATCTATTTGTGCTTGCGGGGGTTGAGCTCTGGCTCTTTGGTCCCGCCTCTTAACTGTCAAATAATGTACAGGTTCTCCCCCTCAAATAATGTACAGGTTCCTGAGCCTACTGGGCTCTATCATATGTACACTTGAAGCTGTGTATGGAGTCAGCCTCTACCACATCACTTCCAATGCATTCCATTTGTCTACTACTCTGACACTGAAAAAATTCTTTGTAACGTCTCTATGGCTCATTTGGGCACTCAATTTCCACCTGTGTCCCCTTTTTGTGTCTGCTCCTTGTGTTAAATAGTCTGTCTTTATCTTCCCTATCAATTCCTCTGAGAATGTTGTATGTGGTGATCATGCCCCTCTAGACGCCCAGTATATCAGAATATTGTGATAGAGTGTAGAGAGAATATTAAGAAATTAGAAAAAAACTGGGTATAAAGTAAGATTTATGTGGATCCCTTCACATATGGGAATACTGTTGAATGAGGTAGTTGATGACATAGCGAAGAGAGCCACCGAAAAAACTCTTGTTGATGTTGTATGTCAGTTAACCTTGAAACAAATAAAAACAAGAATCAAGATGATCCAAGAGGGTGAAGAAATGATAAAGAGAATGGCAATGGTGGACAGTAGTAACACACTTAAGAATTATTAATTAATAAATACAAATTCGTCCTTCACTTATGGTAAAGGAAAGTCTACTTGGAAGGATTCAATTTACATGAG